CCCCTTCTCCCCGTAGACTCCTCCACCCGGTCCTCCGTCCAGAACATTATAGTAGTATAACCCTAAGGGTCCATGTACACAAATAGATATACTGTGGCCTCAAAGTAGTCCCTGAAAAGTACTTTGGGGCCAATGTATATACTATTTGGGCACATGGACCCTCAGGGCAATTTTGTTCCGGTGGATTAGTTCCTCCGCTAGGCCACGTGAAATGCACTTCCAAGTACTCCGCGTCCTCCGCAAGATGGTCTAGCCATGTGCGACGAAACTTTAACCCTGCTGATGTATATAGATACATATGCAAATCATACAACCCTGTAAACCCGAACATCTATATATCAAGTCCCTGTCTCTGGAACTGGTCACCTGCTGCCGGGCTGGCTCCACCCCCCCTGCCTCAACAAAAACAGTCAATGACAAGACATCCCAACACACAAGGCTCTAATGCCTGAGCTTAAAACCCCTGAACGCAAAACCCAAAACCCCAAACCCTAAACCCAAATAAATCCTAAACCCTAACTAAACCCTCAATCCTAAACCCTCAATCCTAAACCCTCAATCCTAGGCCCTAAACCCTAAACCCTAAATCCTAAACCCTATATACCCCCGGCTCCCCGACCTGAGCTTCAAACCTTGGACACTACGCGCAGTTCGGCCCTTCGAACCGGGTGTTCAGGGGTTAACGTTTGGGGTTTAGGGTTGAGGATCATGGGACTTAGTAACTAGGGTTATAATTAATTATAAGGTAACTATACTTATAACTACTTATAGCCCCAATTAAGGTACGTATAACCCTACTTACTAAGTCCCATGATCCTCTAAGTATGGGGTTGAGGGTTCGCTTACTCTTGTCACAGGGTCCCATACATTCTATAGTTATTATGGGGTTCATAGTGTACCAAAACTTACTTTTTTGTTACAGGGTCCCCAACAATTCTTTCTTAAAGTAATAGTACTAGGGTTCATGATACAGAAACAACTTACACACAAGTAGCAAAGTTGCCTCGTTCCGTCTTGAAGACCCTCGTACAAAGGCCTGAAGCGCGCCTGGGTCAGCCGCACGCCTACGGTGCCCCTTGGAGCGTTCCATTCCGCTTACCAAACCCTAAGGGTCCATGTACCAAAATAGATATACTTTGGCCTTAGAGTAGTCGCTATATAAGTACTTTGCGACCAATGTATATACTATTTGGGTACATGGACCCTCAGGGAAAAGTCTCATGTGCCGGAACCGCTTTAGTCTCCGATCTTTCTCGAAGGGTCCGAAGTACTTGCATGGGAGATACTTTGTTGATTCTGTTCCAGAATAGTGATTACTACCATAGAAACCTTCTTTCTTATAGGTACCCAAGACCCTCTGGGTACGACTTCCGAAGCAGCATTGCGGAAGGCTCGGTAGAGTGGTTCGGCCCGCAATTGCTAGCACACGCCGCAGCTGAAATCGTGGGGTTTCGTGCGCCCTGTGATTCCCGGCCTTTCTCCCTGCTAGTTCCTAAATCCCATGCTCTTCCTCCCTTCAAATCATTCTACGAGTCCCAACCTTAGTTTAAGGTTCATATACCATCTAGGGATTCATAGTATACGGGAATAATATAATGCCACTACTTTTAAGGGTCATTTGGTCGTCAAGGAACTCCCATGCAACCTGTACAAATGCGGACAGGCCCAGTAGAAAACTGCTGGCCCACGATGAACCCCTTTGCCTACCCAATGTCGGTACTTGGACAGTTGCAATGTTGGTGAGCATCCGGGGGAGTATTCAATTATCCGAAACTTGGACCCTGACCAAAAGTAGGTAAAATTATGGCCTAAACCCTAAACCCTAAACCCTCAATTATTCAACCCTAAACCCTGACCCCCAAACTATATGGCCCAAGACCTATATACGGCTATTACTCTGCATACTTTTGGAGGTCCCGGAGGGGGTGGCTTAACGTACATAGTTGGTCTCACAAGAACCGGAAAGCCTTACAAACTGCACCGTAGGTACTCCAAAACCCCAACAGCCCTAAACCCTGAAACTCGGAACCCTAACCCCGAAACATCAAGCCAGGTGGAAAAGGGGTCTCAAAAAAAGTAGGCCATAAACCCCAAAACTACAAAAACCCTAAGATCCTAAACCCGAAAAGCTGTCAACAAAGAAACCACAGCCACAAGCTACGAGCATAGACTTAGATTGGATGCCTTGAGGTGCAGCTTTAGCCCCAATCGTGTACCTTCCCTACCTGACCCTAAACCCCAAACCCTAAACCCTAAACCCTAAACCCCTAAAGCCGAAACTCTAAGGGTGTAAGGGTACAATGACGTTTTAGGGTTTACCCTAAGGGTTTAGGGTTCAGGGTCCATGTACCCAAATAGTGTATACTTTGGCCCCAAAGTACCTATATAGGGACTACTTTGAAGCCCTTAGGGCCTTTACAGTAACTCTCGAAAGACACCAAAATAAGGAACCCTAAAAAGGTTGCCCGAATAGTAGGGTCTGAGGTACCAGAAACCATTCAGAGCAACACCCTGCTGTTCGGGACTTGGACCCTCTGGGGTAGGTTCTGCGGGCTGTAGGTAGCCCTAACCCTAAACGTATCTGTAGCCATGCGATCCGAGGCTGCACATCTCTTGCCACACGATCCAAGTCCGTAGCAAGGACGGAGTGCAGGACGGCGGGGTTTCGGGTGGAGGGTTTAGGGTTTAGTTGAGGGCCAACATGACGGTTTAGGGACATGACGTTTTAGGGCAATAGGGTTTCGGGATGATAGCGTCAGGGTTCCTAGGTTCGGTCGGGTGGTTTGCAAAGAGCCTTTAGCCCAAACCCAGGCTGCCAACAACATTGATAGTGGAGGCTTTCTTGTGCTTTCACTACAAAAATCGACGGATATCAGAATTCCGCACAACAACGCCCTCCTTCCTAGAACTCCCCGAACGTCCTCCAAAAGGTTCTTAACCCCTAAACCCTAAATCCTGAACCCTAAACCCCAAACCCCAAAACCGCAAACCCTAAACCCTATACCCTAAACCCAAACCCTAAACCCTAAACCCTAATCCCTAGTTCCCCCCAAAAGCGTTACAGTATTCAGCTCAGGTGTTTGCCGACCTGATACAGCGGCCTATAACCCCAAAGGGCAGCAGTACCAACATGGTACGAATACCTGTAGGGCTTTGGGTTCAGGGATTAGGGTTGGGGTTTGGGGTTTAGGGCTTAGGGTTTAGGGTTTAGGGTTCAGAGTCTAGAGTTTAGGGTAGGGCCAGAATACCTATGGCATCATGGACCTCACAGGTACTCAAGAGCCTTGCAGTACAAGATGCATGCTGTCATGGAGCGAGTCTCTTGCGGCTAAACTACGTAACTCCAAATGCTTTGCCTCTGCACTACGCCCGAGTTGCTAAACCCTACCCGCCTCCGCCAAACCTGACAAATTTGTAGGCCTTGACCCCATATACGGAGCCGCACTCAGGCGTCAAATTCGCAAGAAGTTGCATCCACGCGAATCCACGGGGTATACATACTCGCCCCTAAACCCTGAATCCTAAACCGCCTGAACTCGAGATAGCCCCAAAGCCCTAAACCCGTATGCGTCAGGTGAATGCGCTGGTGGAGAACAGTCGTGCCTTCAATGCGGTGTCACCCCAGGAGAGACTGACTGCAAATAAAAAGACCCAGAGGCTCCAACGATACTACCATTTTGGAATCAGGGTTTAGGGGTTTGGGTGTAGGGTTTAGGGCCTTTAAGGGTCAGGGTTTAGGGTTCAGGGGTGAGGGTTTGGGTTTAGGGGTCCGCGAAAGGTTGAGCTTTGAGGTTAAGGGTCTGAGCAAGACTATTCATTCCAGTCATGGTTTTGGCGGGACATATGTCTAGCATAGTAGTATGTATGGACCCTTGAAGCCCAATTACCCATATAAGCAACTCCTATGATTGGAACCCATAGGTCATGCAAGTGCACGCTCCTAGCCACGTGTACTTTTATTCGTGACATCGTGACATCTTCGAAATGATGGCTGCTCCATTACACCCAGAAACCTTCTAGACATTTTGAGGCCTCAGCACCTTGTAAAGCGCTACAGTTTGCACAAACCCCTTAACCATTATTGGAAACCCAGATGGAACTCTTTAGAAGCTCTGAAGGAACTTCCCAAAACCTACTTAAAGGATCATGGGACTTAGTAACTAGGGTTATAATTAAGGTAACTATACTTATAACGACTGATAACCCCAATAGGTACTTATAACCCTACTTACTAAGTTCCATGATCCTCCAAGTAACCTTCTTTTTTGAAATTGTGACCCGTCACTGTCTGGGACCCTACCACTAAAGGCGTAACCCCAAGCACTAAAGCTCGGAATCCCGAATTCCAGGATTTGCCCTAGCCTAAACCCTAAACCCTAAACCCTAAACCCTACACCCTAAACCCTAAACCCTAAACCCTAACCAGGATTTAGCCACCTGGGTCATCGGTGGCGGCCCTGCGCCACAGCTGCTCGTCCTCCTGAGCTGCTACTCGGAGGCTCCGGGTGCTTTCGCCCTGCAGCGCTTCGTACATACTCACTGACTTTTAGGGTTTAGGGTTTAGGGCACTGACTTATTTTAGGTCAAAATACCCACTACTGTGGATAGTCTACATCCTGCATTACCTTAAGGACCCTGAACTATGGGAATTATATGGTATATTCTCACTATGGGTAATGCAGGATTTATATCATCAACCGTCTGTCGGCACTTGCAACCGTAGATCGCCGAAAGCTTCGTGGGCATGGAGCTGCGGGGAAAATCGTGTCTTGACAAGTGGCAGCTCTGCCTTTTTTGTACCCTAAACCCTACACCCCAAAGCCTAAACTCTGAACCTTCAACCCTAAATCCTGAACCCTGAACCCGTAACCCTAAACTCTGAACCCTGAAGTCGAAGTCCTTGGCTGGAGTCTCGGCTCGCACTCGCGAAGTGGAAGCTTAAGCCCTAGTATAGAAGCCTGCATCAGGTTCCCCAATAGTGCCCTTGTGCCCTGTTTATTTTTTATGGTCTCCTTATACAAGCCGAACATCAGGAAGCCGGGTACCCTTATCATAAAGGGTTTACTGGGGCACCTAGTGAATCATTCCCAAACTTGCTCCATGGGGTTCCTGAGTGTAACTGTGCTTTACTATACCCCAAACCCTACTCTAATGAATTGGGTCCGCCATGTTACACAATCACGTGGCAGGAGGTGGCAAAGACTTGCTTGGCATCCTGGATGCAAGATGCTCTGTGGCTGGGAGCTTGGGGTGTGTCGTGGTCCAATTGTTACATTTTGTTCTGACACCTGTAGGCTGCGAGGCCATGCATGTCGACAGTTCCAGCAGGTTCGCGGGCTGCTTCGGTTTACTAGCTGCCTTCTGCAAACAGCATCACGCCTGAAGACGCTAAATGATGTCACGCTTCGCGCAACCGGCCAGTTGTTCCTCGCAACACACTGCCATTCCTTCTGAGATAGACAGCCATATATTCCGTTCCTGAATCGACCTTTTAAATACACTCCGTCATTCAAATCTTGTAAATACATGCCGCCATCCAGATCGTCGTACCCTCAAGCACCACTTACTCTCGTTCCCCTCGGCTTGGACTGTCGAACTGCCAGAGCTTGTGAGACACTTTTTTCCATGCCCACGTCAAAGCCCCTGCATACCTCTGAGGAACACGGCGTGCGTCGTGCCGTCGCTGCCACCCAGCCGCAAGGATCAGTCTAAGTCAGCTGCAACAGCCCAATGCCTCTAGTAGATTACTGCGGTTGATGATATAGTCCTGCATTACCCTGAATAAGGAATAGACCATAGCTCCCATAGTTTAGGGTCCTTATAGGGTAATGCAGGATTTATATCATCAACGGTATGCACGGGCCCTTAGGTTATCCTCCAGGCTTGATATGAACTCACACACCACTGGATTGCAAGATCTCTCGTGCTGTGCTCCTTTGAACCCGCAGCCCAGAAAGCCCGAAGACAGAAAGAACTTGGTAGTTTCTAAGTTAGGGTACCTTTTTCGTTCCCCCCTAAAATAGTACGGCACCCTTGTAGATGGAACCCCAAAGAGACCCTAATCAAATAGATACAGATACGACAGCAGCATGACTGCTCCTTTCTGGCCCCAGTGATATCCATGTACATGTGCTTGGATGCTCTTGTGATGTTGTAGGTAGGGCTAGTGCGATGGGATAGGTTGCGGCAGAGCCTCAATTCTAATCCTGTCGCGAGAGATTTTATATATATATATATATAATATATATATATATATACATACATCCAACATGTAGCAAATGTAGCAACCCTAAACTCCCAAGCGCCGAATTCACAAATCCTAAACCCATAAAGTCACCAAAACCCTCCCCAAACCCTAAACCCCTAAAACCCTAAAACCCCTAAACCCTAAACCCCGAAAGCCTTAAAAACCCTGAAAACCCCAACAGCCTTAAAACCCTAAAAACCCTAAAAACCCTGTAAACCTTAAAAGCTTTAAAACCCCAAAGCCTAAAAACCCAAAAAAACGTAAAAATCCTAAACGCTAAAAGCCCCAAACCCCCAAACCTCCAAAACAAGGTGCGTGCAGAGAAGTCTCTCCTGGACTCGGCAGCCAGGGACTTTACGACCACCTTCTATGCCGAGCCACTTGGGCTTAGGGTTTAGGGTTTAGGGTTCAGGGCTTAGGGTTTAGGGTTTAAGGTTTAGGGTTTAGGGTTCAGGGTTTAGGGTTCAGGGTTTAAGTTTAGGGGTTAGGGTTCAGGGTTTAGGGTGCAGGGTTTAGGGTTTAGGGTCTCACTTGGAGGATCATGGGACTTAGTAAGTAGGGTTATAGGTACCTTAACTGGGGGTTTTAGGTAATTAAAAGTATAGCTACCTTAATTACAACCCTGGGTAGTTGTCAAAATTATGGTCCCTTTTTGGGGTACCCTAAATAATAGGTGCCGTATTATAATAAGGACCCAAAAATTAAGAGCCCAAAAATAAGCACATAAGCACAAGCGTTTTATAAGGATACCCCTACCTTATTTAAGAGGGTTTATATGGGATATCCCTATCCTAAGTTTTGCTTATGTGCTTTTTGGAGGCCCTAAAAAGGGACCCTAAGTTTGACAACCACC